CTCCACAAAGATCTGCAGAAGGACCATAGAAACATTCATATTATGAGGCTTGTTCCTTCTGCTGGGACATCACCGCGCAGGACGCCGGCCCACTTTGTGGATTAGCGGTTATAAAATAAAAATGCCGTCCTGCCTTCCGTGGCCTCTGCATGGGGAGCTGAATATTTCATGCGGGCCGTTGTCTGCATTGTCTTTGCTTCTGCTCGACCTCACGATTCACCTTCGCCGAGAGGAAACACGAATCGATGAGCACGAGCTGCGTCAGTTGCGCTTCCTTCGTCATCTCGAAAACGCCGTGACTCACGCCAGCGAGAGCTTTTTCTGTCACGCCGAGGCAGGACGAGGTTAATAACCGTGAATTAAAGGTGGAATTACGCCGCTTTTGTTTTTGTTTTGTTTAAATTGAATCGGCGTGCAAAACAACGGTGTTATTCTGACTTCTCACCTCGAATAGCAGAAAGCCGGCTGTTTGTGGAGCGCCGAGAACAACATGCACGAGAGGAATCGTGAGGAAATACAGACAGAGCAGAGCTGCAGCAGTCAGTCAGCTGGTTTTTTAATGTTAACCAACAAGTTTCTGGGTGTTTTTTTTGTCCTGTTGCATTTTTCCTCACTCTGGGTTCATTTTTCACTGCCATACAAAGTCCTGCATCTCTATGGAAACGACCATGACCAATACTAGAAAACAAAACAGTGGCTCCACATGCTCTAGATAATTTAGTGTTTGCTTTTCTAATTAGTTTCTCTACTTCTGTCCTCTAAACACATCCTGCAGTTCAACTGAATAGTCCCTGAATTTTTGTGAAGTGACTCTTGGTTGCAGCGGAGTCCGCCATTTGCCCCAAAAACCACAGAGTTTTTTGTTTTTTACAGCATGTAGTTGAAGCAAGCAGTTTGTTTTTGGTAAATATTTTAAAAGAGAAATATAGAATAAAGGGGTTTTAATGAAATATCCCGATTTTAAGCTCTGATTTGGTTGTTTTCAGATGAGTGGTTCAGCGTCAGAAAAGTGAAAATGAACGATTCTGTCCGCTTTTACGGGTTGTTTCTCTGATTAAACGTGTCATTTTGGTGTTTTTTTCCCCTAAAGTTAGACTTTTTGGTGGGTTTTATGAAGTAGATACGTGATTTTAGCCTAAATTCAAGAGAAATTACAGCAAAATCTATATTTTTGGTGCTCTTACGGTCAAAAACTAAAGATTTTTATTTAACGTGCTGATATTTTTTGTTGTTTTGGCTCTAAAATGTCCCAGATCGTGAAAATTCCCCATGACACCGTCTTAAAATCAAAACTGACATCTTTAATACGACCTATTTTCTTCAATCATGAACTCCATTAACCGTCTGCAGCCAATCATGGATTAGTTGAATAAATTAGCCGTTTTCATAATCACCTAATCAGCTTGAATGATTTTCTGATAGCAAAAAATAGTCTGATTTCTCTGATTGCAGCTTCTTAAATGTGAATATTTTCTGTTTTAACTAACCTGAAACTAGACATTTGTCATCTTGGGATCTTGTGGGAAACATGTTTTGATAAACCACCATCATGATGCAACTGAGACCTGCTCCTAAAACTAATATTTAGATAAATCAAGCAATCAATGAAAAGCCACAGCACAGTTCACAAATATCATCACAGACTCTCATATCTGAGCCTTTAATGGACGTCGGCTGCGTCTGTTGTATCCTGATGAACTCCATTTGTCATTCTCAGCCTATTTCATCCTGGAGAAGAACCTTCCTCTGCGATCTGCGCTGGAGACCAGGAGGACGGTCCAGGCCGACATCCGGATGATCGCTAATGACAACTTTGGTAGGAATGATCTGCCCCGAGCAGCTGCGTTAGCGTCGTGTGAGCGTCGTGTGCTAATTGAGCGTCTTGCGGAGTAAATCACACGAGCGTTTGCACCTGTTTTCCTGTTTCCAATCCTGCGTCGGTCACCTCTCCTGTGTTTTTCCCCTCACAGAGCTGCCTCTGAAGCTCGTCTATCCTCCAGACTTCTCGGAGACTTTCCTCTACGGCCTCCTCCTAATTGTGTAAGCCGTCTCCGCTTTATTACATTTGCATTTTTTCATTTGTGTTAATCGGCGAGCTTCAAAGGCCAAATTCAGCGAGGACAAGTGAAAGTGAAACGCCGGTCTGTGGCTGCAGGCTGTCGGACACGTTTTTACATAATAACCGTGAAAATAAATCAGAGGAAAACACAGATGTCATGTCTTTGCAACAGTCAAGTCATTATTGTAACACCGGCACATGAATGTTGATAAAACTGAGAATATGCACAACACAAACACAAAAGCCTCTTTGCTTATTCTCCCTGCAAGTTGCCTGTGAGTTAAATTCACCATCCAGGACAAACCCTGGACACGTACTTTGGAGTATTTTTAGCCAGAGGAGGAGACTCATGTTTGTGCAGTTTAGAGGTAGCAGTACTTTGCACGAGCATTTCCATTTTATGCTGCTTTTTATTTCCGCTCCACAAGATTTCAGAGAGAAATATTGTATTTTCCACATTGTTAGACCAAAATTCATTTTAGAAAAAAAGGCACTTTATCCGTGATCAAAATAGTATTTTTAGAATTCTGAAGAGATGCAGAGCGACCACAAAAGATGTAAAACAACCACAAAACAATCTTCAAAGATGTAAAATGATCATATCAAGATGTCAAACCATCTTAAAACAGTGCAAGCAACCATAAAATGATGCAAGAAAAACACAGAGATGCAAAACAAATGCAAAAAGATGTAAAACAAACACAAACAGATGCAAAACTACTGCAGAAAGATGCAAGTTATCCATAAAAAGATATAAAACAACAATAAAAAGATGCAACTCAGACACAAAATATGTGAAACAGCCACAAAGGGATTCAAAACAGTTGTAAAACAATGCAAAACAACTACAAAAATATGTAAAACCCCTTTTAAACAATGCAAGTAACAAAAAAATGATGCAAAACAAACATGAGGGGATGCAAAACAAATGCAAAATATATAAAACAACTAGAAAAAGTTGTAAAACTACAAGAAAAACATTCAAATTAATCATTAAGAGATGCAAAAAGACTCAGAAAACATGTAAAATACCTACAAAAAGATTAAAGTCAACCACTAAAAATGCAAATTAACCACAAAAAGTAAAAATAAGAGTTTATAGAACTAAAAAAACATCAGGTGGACGTCTCACAGGGAAAAAATAAAGTTGAAACCAAGTGATTTTGTCTGCATGGATTGTTTTCTATGAGCAAAGCGTTTTGTTTCAGGAGATTATTTATTGTTGGAGCCAACATTATGATGAATAATTGATTAACTCTGCAGCTCTACTACTGTGTACAAGTTAAGAATTCCAAAAATGAGCAAAAGTACAGAAGTATTTTCACCTAAATGTACTTAAAGGATGAATAGTTGTGCAGTAAAATGGTCTGAAATAAACTTTTTGTGGTGAAATATTCTGTGTAGATAATATTTGTTTATTTATTTTAATTAAAAAAAACAAAATCTCGAAAGAAACTGAAAACTTAAGAAGTGAAAGCTGCACTATTTCCCTCTAAATTCAAGAGTGGAAGACGTAAAATGGTTGTAAGAAAACGTAATTAAAATGTTTTTTTATGAGTAAGTGTGACTTAACTTTTGGTCCCGACAGCACCGGCTCTCCGGGCGACCAGGCGGTGACGGAGGAGTTCGGCCTGGACTGGGACCGGGTGCTGGTCGGGTTGGATCAGGTCATCGTGGCCCGACTGGACGGCAGGGGGTCGGGCTTCAGAGGTCAAAGGTGAAGAGTCTTGGTAGCCGAAGCAGGATTTGTGCTGCTGAAGCTCCAGATTCCACTTTGTGACTTGGTCTTTGTGTCTTCTTCAAGGGTCCTACAGCAGGTCCATCAGCGGCTCGGCACTGTGGACGCCGACGACCAGATCGCAGCTCTGCAGTACGTAACATCTGCACATCTGTCAGTCAGAGACAACTTGTTGTACAGAATATTCAATGTTCCTGAAAACCGAAGCTGCATAAAACACACAAAAAGCAGCTTTTGCCACTGATGTGGTTCAACACTCCTCCTCCTGCTGGTTTTTCTTGATCAGTGCAAACGTCACATCGGTCCTGTCAGTGATTCCTCGTAGCTTCCACCTTCGACCTTCATGCTGCTTTTGGCTCAGTGGAACAAAATGTAAAAATAGATCTTCTCCTTTTCGTCTGGTTGGTGTCTGCTTTTTAAAACACCTCCTGTTCTGTGTTTTTTTTCAGATACCTGGTGAGGCTGCCGTTCATCGATCGCACTCGTGTCGGAGTCTTCGGAGAGGTTCGTGGGTCAAACATTCAGACGTGTTCATGATGTATGGAGACCTCCCTTTAATGACTGTTGTGAGATGTTTTACTTGAGTGTTTTATTCCACTTTATCCTCCCACTCTGCTACGTGTCAGAGTGAGTTATTCATCCGTAGTACGTAGGTGTTGCAATTTTAGATTTTACAAATAAAGAAGTTGTAAAATAGGATGCTTTTCTTTGTAGACTGAACTCCCCAGCAGCCTGTGAAGTGGTAAAGACGGCTCCAGTTTTATCAAATACAAGAATATGATGCAGCTTGTGGGGCAATGCATCAATACTCTGCATTGTTTTTGATTCTTTAAAGGTCCCATTTTTATTGAGTTAAAAACTTTAAAGTGTAAAATTAAAGCTTCTAAGATATAAGGATGTTTACTTTTGACATTCCTCTACCCTCCCAGCTTCACAAGCAATTTTATTCAGCTTTTTAGCTGCTTCTGCTAACTCTAAAATGTCTCAGCCATGATCAAAAATCACTAAATGTTCTGCTGCAAGAGTGAACACAAGAGTCTTCATGCACTACCAGCATCAGAGGACCTGAACACCTTACTGATTACTGTTATTATTAATGGTCATGTCCCCACAACAATAGGAAAATCCCTACTGTTAGCACGTTGTATGGCTAATGTAGCTAGCACTAACTATGATGTAGTTGAAGCAGTAGTAGTTCTAGTAGCAGTAGTATGAGTGGCAGCAGTAGTAATATGTAGTAGTAGTATTGGTAACAGTAGCTGCAGTAGTCGTTGTAGAAGTAGCATTAGCAGCAGCAGTAGTAGTAGCAGTAGCAGTGGCAGTGGTAGTAGTTGTGGTAACAGTAGCTGCAGTAGTAGCTGTAGAATTAGCATTAGTAGTAGGAGCAGTGGCAGTAGTTGTAGTAGCAATGGTGGCAGTACTAGTGGCAGTAGTAGTTGTAATTATGGCTGTAGTAGTAGCTGTAATAATGTGGTTAACAATTACTTTGATGGTAGTAGTAGAAATGTAGATAGCATTTATTTTGATGGTAGTATCAGTAATGTAGCTTTGGTGGTAGCAGTTGAAGCAGTAGGAATGTGGCTAACATTAGCTTTGGTGTTAGTAGCTGTAGCAGTACTAATGTCGCTCAGATTAGCTCTGATTGTTGTGGTAGTAATGGGGCTAACATTGGCTTTGATAGTAGTAGTTGTAGCAGTAGTAATGTAGCTTAAATTTAGCTTTGATGCTAGTAGTTTTAGCAGAAGTAATGTGGCTAACATTAGTTTTAACGGTTGTAGTTGTAGCAGTAGGAATTGGCTAACATTAGCTTTGATGGTAGTAGCTGTAGCAGTACTAATGTCGCTCAGATTAGCTTTGATTGTTATGGCAGTAATGTGGCTAACATTAGCTTTAGTGGTATTAGTTGTAGCAGTACTAATGTAGCTTCAATTTAGCTTTGATGCTAGTAGTTTTAGCAGTAGTAATGGGGCTAACATTCACCTTGATTGTAATAGTTGTAGCAGTAGTAATGTGGCTAACATTAGCATTGATTGTAGCAGTAGTAATGTGGCTAACATTAGCTTTGGTAGTATTTGTACAAGCAGGCAGTAGTAATGTCGCTAACATTAGCTTTTGTAGTAGTAGTAGTAAGTGGCTAACATTAGCTTTGAGTGTAGTAGTTGTAATGTGGCTGATGTTCGCTTTGATAGTAGTTGTAATAGCAGGCACTATTAATATGGCTAACATTAGCTTTGATGGTAGAAGCAGTAGATATGTAGCTAAAATGAGCTTTGATAGCAGTTGTAGTAGCAGTAGCACGAGTAGTAGTACTGTGTATTGTGGAGCCACACCATTAAAACAAACTGTGGTTGCTCGATTGAACTGCGATCTGCGCTTTTGGACTCTTGATCGTGTTCCTCGTGGTGTTCCTTAGCAGTTTATACAGCTTATCAGGGTCCTGCTTCAGGGGCTAATGTGGATCTGCAGCGATGTTTAGGTGGTTGGTAACATTCACATGAATGCAGGACTGGAGGTTTCCCAGCAGAACATCCTGCAACCAGGCGTGTTGCAGCTCTCTAAGCTAACCTGCAGCGTCTCCAGCAGGGCTACGGCGGCTACCTGGCCCTGATGATGCTGAAGTCGACGGAGAAGCTGATCAGATGTGCAGCAGCTCAGGCTCCCATCACCGACTGGACGCTGTACGGTGAGCCAGGATCCACTTCATCTCTAAGGCTGCAGGGAAATATTTATTAGCTCTGTTCCTGCTGCACTCTTTTTTTTTTCCCTACATGATCTTTTTCATAGGTATTGTCAGCGTAATGTGACTTTAATTACCCTTCGGTTCTGCTGTGGGGAATCCAGGCTTATTGAAGTTGAGGATGAAAAGCTGTGCTCAGTTCTCGGCATTAAGAATCCTGCTGGATGTGATTATGGTTTAATAGAGCCGAGTGCTGCTGTGGAGCCTCGGCTTCAAACAAAGGCTGAGCAGGAAAACGACTTTATAGGTCCTGAACGAGACGTTTAAACACTTCATACATGTAAAAACATATAACATTTCTTTATTTTTCTGTTTCAGCCTCGGCCTCCTCAGAGAGATACTTCGGATCGCCGTCGACTGATGAGAGTAAATACGAAGTGAGCTGCTTTTACCAGTCGTCCGTCTCTTAACCCTCATTTTCACCCACTGTGGCTCGTTTTTCACTGCAAAGTAAAGTCCTCCATGGAAACAGAAAAACCGTGAAGAAGTAGGGAGAAGTCAGTCTACTGTGTCGTATGATACAGTTAGAATATCATGAAAAAGTTACATTTCTTTGATTATTTATTTGAAAAATATTGATAAAACATGGAAGTCTGGAGTTTTTGTTTGTTAGTTTTTGCATTGTTTCTTTTATTTGTGGCTTTTTGTGTATGTTTGTATTTTTTTGTCTTTCGGTTTTACATCATTTTGAATCTTTTCTTTTTTTTCTGCTATTTTTGCATCTGTTTTTTGTCTCTATATGTCGTATTTGTCTGTCATGTGTTGTGTGTTTTTGCATCTATTTGTAGTTATTCCTGTTAGTTAGTTATTTTTTGCATTCTTTCTTTTATTTGTGCATTTATGTTTGTTATTTGCAGCTTTTTGCATCTTTTCTTTGTCTATTCTTTGTTTTTTTTGTCTCTATATGTCGTATTTGCCTGTCATATGCGTCTGTTTTTGCTTCTGTTTGCATCTGTTTGTAATTACTGCCTGTTAGTTTTACATCTTCTGTGTCATTTGATATAAAAATGGAAGTCCGTTTATTTTTGCATGCTTTCATTTTTGCATTTTTGTTTCATTTTTGCATCTTTTTTGGCTAAATTTGTCGCTTTTGTTTGTTGTTTTTTGCATTTATGTTTGTTATTTTTGCCTTATTTTTTGTTTTTGTGTCCTTTTTTGACTTTTTTGTGTATGTTTTTATTTTTTTGTCTTTTGGTTTTACATCATTTTGAATCTTTTCTTTTTTGTCTGCTATTTTTTGCATCAGTTATTTGTCTCTATCATGTTGTATTTGTCTGTCATGTGCGTCTGTTTTTGCATCTATTTGTAATTACTGCCTGTTTTACATCATCTGTGTCATTTGATAAAACAGAGAAGTCTGTTTACTTTTGCATGCTTTTATTTTTGCATTTTTGCTTCATTTTTGCATTTTTTTGGACTAAATTTGTCGCTTTTGTTTGTTATTTTTTGCATCCATTCATTATTTCTGTCAGTTATTGTTTCATCTTTTTGTTATTTTTTGCTTTTTTTGGGACCATCTGTATTTTTTCTGTTATTTTTGCATCTTTTTTGTCTAAATTTGTCATCTTTAATGTCTCTGACGCATTTCTGACTTTTTTCTCCTTCTAGTCCTGGTTGTTCTGTTTCCATAGAGGTGCAGGACTTTGTATTGCAGTGAAAAATGAGCCCACCGTGAGGAAAAATGCAACAGGAGTCCAGAAAACAAACCTCCCAGAAGCTGCTGCTTGGAGTTCAGATGGTTAAATTAGATTGAAGCCCATTTTCTTCCCACAGAAAGCGATTTTTTTTTTTTGGGAGAGATGGAGGTCACAGCTCTGTAAAACAGGCCACTGCACGTCTTAATGAAAATGTTTGGCTGCTTCGGTTCACCTCACAAACAAAACAGCGGCGGTCGGTTGAAAATAAAGCGAGTGGCCACCAGCGACGCTCCGAACCTCCTCCTCACAAACACGAGGAACAGGGAAGCGCCAGCGGTGTGAGCTAAAAACAACATTACACAGTCGTCCTCCAAGTGAAGGTTGCAGCTGAAGTGTGTTTTTATCTAAGTGGGTTGCCTTTAACTGGGCCACCGCTCTATTTTTGTGGCCGTCGCTGCAGGAGGAGGCTGTTAATGACATCCAGAGGAGGGGAATGTGACACCATCTGATCAGACAATAATCAGCAGGACGTCACCGCTCGGTCCGTCCTCTCGCACAGAAATGGGTTAGGAAACGTCCGGCGGTTGGCTGCGGTCACAAAACCTTCCCGTTTGAATCCCAGCTGGGAGGAACTGAATGACAGGAAATGGCTAAACGCTCTCCCTGGAGCATCAAACCCAAATGCAATCTGGAGTCTTGTTTCCCGCTGAATGCAACGTGTGCTTCTGCACAGTCACACCGGCACTGCAAAGGGAAATATTTATGCAAGATTTCTGGGAGTTTTCTGTTTTTAGCTTCATTATCGCAAAGATTTCTAGTGTTCATGTGCTTCACACGTCAACAACACACCATATGAGAGGAACGATTTTCACTCTTCACGCATTTGTTTTTACTGAGAAGTCGGTGATAAGATTAAAACCACTGTTTGTAAAATGACTGAAGCTACAAGCAGATATTTAAATTAAGTTTAAACAATACTGTTAACTCTAACATTTAAACTTTTTTGATTAATTTTTTAACTTAAATCTTCTTTTTTTTTTACTGAATACCACTTTGGTATTTTATTATTTCTGCTTTTTTTTTTGTTATTTTTGAATTTTTTTGTGTCTATTTGTAATTTTGTCAATATTTTTTGCATTTTTTTGTTGTTGTTTTTTTGCAGTTTTTGTGTCCTTTTTGCATCTTTTCTATTTTTTTCATCTTTTTGTTTCATTGTCACATTTGTCTATAAATCTTTTGCATGTTTATTATTTTTTGTTGTTATTTTTGCAGTTTTTGTACTTTTTTTGCATCTTTGTCTCGATTTGTAATTTCATCCATTATGTATTTATTTATTTTTGCATCTTTTTAAAATTATTTTTACAGTTTTTGTGTCCTTTTTGCTTTTCGTGTCTATCTGTACAGTTAATCTGTCACTTTTGCACCTTTTTTCTCTTTTTTTTCATCTTTTTATGTCATTGTCATATTTGTCTATTAATCTTTGGCATTTTTTTATATTTTTTTGTTGTTATTTTTGCAGTTTCTGTGTCCGTCAGTAAATTTTATCTGTCATTTTTGCATCTCTTTTCTTATTTTTTTTTCTTCATCTTTTTATGTCATTTTCATATTTTTCTATAAATCTTTTGCATGTTTATTCTAATTTTTTTGGTTATTTTTCTTTTTTTTTCCCTTTTTTTGCATCTTTATGTCTCAATTTGTGATTTCATCCGTTATGTATTTATTTATTTTTGCATCCTTTTTATTATTGTTGCAGTCTTTGTGTCCTTTTTATATCTTTTTGTGTCTATCTGTACATTTCGTCTGTCGTTTTTGCGTCTCTTTTCTCATTTATTTTCGTCTTTTTGTGTTGTCATATTTGTCAGCCTTTTGCATGTTCAAATTTTTTTGTTATTTTTCAATTTTTTTGTCCTTTTTTTTCCCATCTTTTTGTGTCTTTGGGTCACTTTTGTCTGTTTTCCTCAAATTATCTCAGTTTGTTTTATTTAAACAATTTTTTAATGTCCAAATCAGTAAATCTATCTTATATGTCACAGAAAAAAACAAAAATCTGTTACAATTCCAGCAAATTAGTTCTTGAGGAAATCATTAGTTTTTTCTTTCTTCTTCCATTAATCATCAACATTAGCTCCACTTCCAACATCAGCAAAATGGAGTTTACACGTTAAAGCAACATATTTTAGTCACTTTTTTTTTACGCTTTTTTCCAGTAACTCTCCCGCATCAAACGGCATGATGTGACGTTACTGATGTACACAGTTTAAATATTCTGTTCTTGTTCTTCAGGCCTCCAAAGCGCTGCCCGGCCTGAAAGGTCTGCAGGGAGGAACCCTGTTTCTGGCTCACGGCACCGCTGACGGTACGACGTCCCCTCCATCGAAAACACAACACGTCGTCTTCACTGTGACCCGTGTTGTGTTTATTAAAGGCAGCTCTCTGTTTGTGTTCCTTTGAAATGAGCCTCTTTACAGCGCGGAGCTTTAAAAACGCAGCTTTAATGAGAGCTTTTATGCGGCTGTTGAATTAACCTGGCCGACACTGATTTGCATGTTTGTCTTTGCAGCCAACGTCCACTTCCAGCACTCGGCAGAGCTCATCAAACACTTGATAAAGATCGGAGCCAACTACACTATGCAGGTAAACAACACGGTTCATCCTGTAAAAAAACACACCTTCAGCTCAAGCAGGAGACAAAACAGTCAACAGGTTTCATTTATATATCCTGGTTTGTGAATATTTGTAAATCGTACTTTAGGCTCCAGTTGCATGTGGGATGATGGACTTTTAAGAAAATACTACAAAATATCCCCTTAACACATGTTTTTGTGACTTTGTTTCGCCTTAAAGGAGCATTTTGTGAACTTCAGTATATTTATAAACAACCTTATAAATCATGTGTAACATCAGAGTTAGCAGTTAGCTTAGCATAACTTAGCCTGGAGTTTTATTTTTTATAACAAATGAAATATATAATTATTGAGCTTTAGAGGGGCTGATAGGTGCAGCAACAGGCTAGCTGTTTGCCTGTATTGCTAGCTTTTATGCGAAGCTAAGCAGCTGTAGTTTCCTGTTTGCCACATGACAGCAGCGTCAGTCTTCCGTTCTCAGAAGAAAACAATAAAAGGGAATTGACAGAAAAATATGAATTCTAACATTTTCTCTCACTGTCTGAAAATATTATATGTATTAAAAAATTTTTAAAAAGCATCAATAACCTGAATGTTAATGTGAGATTATTCTGGATATTATTGGACCAAAGTGTTAATAATGTGGACGCTATTGGAGCAACAGTGTCAAAAACTTTGATATTAACATAATTATATTATAATGACTTGGATATCACTGCACAAGGAGTCAATTACCTGAATATTTAAGTAAAAAAGAACACGATAAACCAGGATATTAATGCACCAAAGTGTCAAAAACCTGGTCTTTAGTGCTCAAAGCTATCAATGACCTGGATATTTAAGTAAAAATACATTAAAAACCTGGTCAGTAATCCACCAACATGCCAAAAACCAGGATATTATCGCAAGACGGCCTTAAAAAAATAGATTTTAAGGCATTAAAGTCTCAAAAACCCGGACGTTAATGCATCTAAGAGTCAATAGTCTAGATAGATCTAGAAACTTGGACATGACTGCGCAAATGAATGAATGATGAAAACAAGGGTCAAAAACCTGCGTATTGATGTGAATAATCCTCTGTGGTGTTTTCAGATCTACCCAGACGAAGGTCATTTCCTGTCCACACACAGCCAGATTCAGCTGACTCAGTCCCTGATTGGATACTTCAGAGGATGTCTGCTCGACGTGTCATCACTGCTCGACCAACGGGACGACGACTGAGGCGTCGCCGCGGTTACCGCCGTGTGTTCTGAGCGTATGTTGCCCCTGGTAGACCGAGTGTGTGTGTGTTTGTGTTTTATACCAGTAGTACAGCGTCTGATGGACGAAACAAGCTTCTTCTCTACGTGTCGGACTAGTCTGTCACCTCGGTAGATCAGCAGCTCAGCTCGCGGTGTGTTTTGTCGCCTCCTTTGTCTGGACGGAGCTCAGAAAACGCCTCGCTCTTGTGGGGTTTTTCAAATTCTGCAAACTATGGTTGCTCTTCAAACAAACACCTGTAACAGGCTGCTCTTCACAACAAACGCTAGCAGGAAACACAGCTGCATTTAAACGCAACTGATTGAGTAAAAACAAGTAAATATTTCTCTATAGCCTCAAATATCAAAGTCAGACGTAAGCTTGAGGGTAAAAAAAAGAAAAATGGAGGGTAAAATTCAAGTTTTTCCCATAAATTCTTGGTTTTCTCAGCTACATGTGTCTACGTAGAAGAACCTTATTTAGATCCTGTTCTCAGCTTTTCTTACTCATAAAGCTCCACCAAAGAGCAAAAACAGAAGTCAGTCTTCACTTCTGTTTGGCTCTTATGTGTAAAAGTCAAAGATGAAAGCCTGGTGCATGAAATAGTCAACTACAACTCCCAGGGTGCATTTCATCAAGAAACGCCCAATTGCAGAGCTTCAGGTTCTCCCACAGATGGCGCTGTTGAGCAGCCTGCAAAAATAAGATTTAAAGTTTAGTTCTGCATCAGTTTTGATAGAATTCAGAACCACATGTGGCTAACTGTTCGCCCCCGAGGCTCATGGGTATTGTAGTATTTATGCAAATTCACCATAAATAAAGAAGTCCTGTGATTTTTGCAAACGTGAACGTAATTTTTTGTCAAATTTGTAAATATAGTAAAAATATAAAACTGTTTCACACACTTACAGCTCAAAAAATTGAGCGTTTGAATTCAAATGTAATACTTTAATTTACATTTTTCTCCTGCAGATGAAAACAAAAACTCCACAGACCCTTTTTTCTTACTTTTAATTATTAAAACAGGTTAGCAGCTTTTTTTTTAAATGGCGAAAAAGTGAATTTAGTTGGACTTCAGTGACTAAAAAAGCCCAAATCATGATTGCTTTTTGAAATTATATGAGTTTCTGTAATTTATTACAGGTTTTAGCACTTTAAAGCTCAGCTGAGGGGGCTGTGCGTTCTGATTCAAACGCTGCCACATCCTGAAAATTGTGTTTCAAAAACCAATTTGGAGGCAAAAGTTGAATTTCGGGGCCTTTTCAGTTTAGATTAGTGTACAAAGTTTGCAGGAGAAGTGGCTGAGAATGAACCTCCTCTGTCAAACCGCCTGTCAGTATGTTTGTTTGCCTGGAATTAAATGGATTTTTTTTTTTTTTTTTAGCACAACATAATATCGACTGCAGGCTCCTTCATGAAATATTGAAAGTTGGATGCAAGTTGCACCAATCTGGCCTGTCAGCAGTGGGACGTGAAATCGTTAGAAACAGCAGCTTCCAGTGAGAAATAGAAAAAAATATCAGTATTATAGAGTAAATCATGGCTTCATGGACGTGTTTTGGGGCATACTGTTGCCTTCACATCCCCTTTAATACGTTCCTGCAGTTTGTCTTGTACGTTTATGTGTCTTTCATCGCGGCGCTCTGTCTCCTCGTCGCCATTAAAACGGACACTTCTTCATTTATTGCTTTTAAAAGTAGATATTTACCGTTTTGCACCAGTTTTTTTGGTGCACAGGAGTTTCATGGGATTGAATTAATTCGCCGCTCCAAAGCTGCTCATAGTTTGGACACTTGGGGATAACATTTTCTTTGAAATTTGACCGATGGCGGAAAAAAATCTGCTGCAGGTTTTATATTTTCTGTTGTCATGTAAAAAGGTTCTTTTTTTTTTTTTTAGGTGATTGCAGACGCTTAAATGCATCTTGTACAAAATGTAGTTTTAAGTCACGTCATGTCCTTTTATTTCCGTACACGATAAATCCGTATTTCTCTGCTCTGTGTTGCTGCCACACTAGAAAACCAAAAACAGATCAAACTCATGTTATAACATTAAACGTTTAATGTTATAATTACATTTTTTAGCTTTTCATGCTATAACAAGACATTTTCATGTTGTTGCAGGGAAAAACTGTTAATGTTCCTGGAGCTGGGGTGCCATAAAACACTATAAAATAATAGAAAGTAATCGTCTTATAAAAATACAGTTATTTCCCATAGTTAAAATACGTCGTGTAGCCTTTAATTTATAGATTATTTCTAGTTTAATGAAGGATATTTACATGAGTAAAAGCCAGGAAATGACTGAAAACACATTCATTCAACTTGTTTGTTATAAAATTATTTTAGAATTACATATATTTTGAACAATTTTTAACTGTTTAAATACAGTTTCTATCACTGTATGTGTAGTGACGATCAGCTGATTGGCCACTCAGCTGGGTGCGCTGAAGGAATGAATGTCCAGGCCATATCTGCTGTCGGGTGATTCTCCCATTTAATTCAACTTGGGTTTACAAAAATTAAAACGTGCTTACTTGATGGTAGACGATGGTTGAGGTGATGATGAGCCTGCGAGCTGCGACAGCGGTAAAAACCGTCTGATCTCCCCGACACCCATACATGATTACCTGGCTCCTAACACCTGTGCAATAAATAAACTCCCCCTGCCACACCAAGAAACGCTGCCCCCTGTGGTAGACAGTCGCCACACATAACTAGCACCTACAGTATGTATATATAAATGATCTATTATTAATATATCTATATGTTCTACGCAATTTTCCGACATTAAAAAGCCCAAAAATACAAGTGATCTCATCTAATATTAGCCAGAAAATATATTTTAATTATTTTTATGAGTTGGTTAATTTCCATTATTTCTAGATATTTATTTTTGGTTCTCCGGCTGCTGGAATATTCATTTTTTTAGAACAGTTTTTTAAAAATTCCTTTAAAAACATTAGTATTATTACTTTTTTTTTTTTTACATTTTCTAGTGTGGCAGCAACATACTGTATTTACACTAATGTCCAGTTGGTGCATCTGTTGTGCATTTCCAGCTGCTTGAAGTAATTTTTCAGAGCCACTTTCGAGTTCCAAAGCGCGGCAATAAATGGCAGCACAGCGCTCCTCGCCGCGAGTGCCGTGAGCCGCGGCGATGAGCCTCGCTGGAGCTTTTATTTGCTTTCAGATTTGATTCCAGGCGGCATGCTGGAGCTGCAACGACAACACGAGTCCGTTGTGGTGTTTATGGTGATGGTGATGATGATGATGATGATCCCCCCACCGGCGCATGGCTAGCAGCTGGTTGCCATGACAACCCCACAGTTAGCCCAGCACCTTAATTCATTTAGAGAAGAAGAAGAAGAAGAAGCTGCTCAGCCTGTCCGTGCTCTGTGACGTCCAGTTTGAGGAAACAGTGCGTGAGCTGTGGTTTTTTTCTGTACTGTGACTCCAGCTAGGTTTTATTTTGGCGGGGGAACCTTGTGGATGTGGGATGAATGAATGAAGAGAAGCTTGTTGTATTTTTTTCCGGCTGTTTTGCTATTAAAGGTAAAATGAAGGAGCCGCGATCAGGCTGCGCGTTTGTTCAACTGCTGGTATCGACTTGTGATTAAAAGTGAATCTACAGCCTGATTTGCTCTCGTCTTCGTGTTTCTTTTCATGCCATTGATGCAAACGCTTCCACAACTACTGATTGCTTGCTTTGTCCATGAGTTGTTTGTTTTCTCTATAAACTGGGGGAAAATATTCAGAAAGATATTCAATTTACTGTCACAGAGGAGGAAAGAAAAGGAAAAATATTCACTTTGAAGCAGCTGGAATCTCAGAATTTAGACTTTTTCCTTTAAAAAATGATGAAATCAAACAATGAAAAGTGAACTTACAGCCTGATTTAATTTCATGTTTGTGTTTGTTTTGATGCATTTTTGTTCATATTATTCTTGCATAAACACAACATTGTCCATTGTGGATTTTTTTTCTGGATTCGTTTATGAGATGTTTGGTGGATAAAATGGTGAAAAATGTCTGTATGTTGATTAGTTTGTCAGCTAATCATCTAGAAAACAGTCCAGCACGATGTAATTATCCCCAAACATATTCAGTTTTCTTTAATAAAAGACAAAAAAAACAAGAAAATAGTGACATTTCAGAAGCTGGAAGCATTAAAAATCTCAAATCTTTGCAGCAAAAATGAACCTTAATGATTAATTGATAATCAAAAAAGCTGCACTATTCTCTGTCAGCCAACCAGCTTTTACCCTGTTGGTCGTTTTCTCAGTTATCTGATTAGCTCTGAGGTCTATCAAGTGGCGAAAAATGTCCAAAAAGCCCCAAAAATATATATTTTTTGTCCACAACCCAATAAGATCATAACATTGTAGAAGTATAAGAATAATTTCGAGTCTATAAACGATTAAAGTGTTCTCAGGTTGTGATTAAAAGTGAACTTGCCGCCTGATTTGTTCTCATGTTAGAGTTTCTGTTCGTGTCATTTCAGAGCCTGTCATTCCCCTCCCGTCCTGAAGGTGTCCTCAGTGTTCCTCACCCTCAGTCCCCCTCATCACCCTCCTTCCCTTCCTCCCTCCCATCCTCAGGCGACAAGTAGGTCCACGTGAACGCTTAATTTTTTTCATCCCTTCGTAAAGATTTTCTGAACTTTCCTGAACTTTTTAAGGGTTTCACATTTAAATCGCCACTTTGACGGGTTTCCAAATAATTGTCAAGCAAATCTGCAAGCAAGCCTTTCAAAAGCTGCAAATTAGACTCACAAAAGGCATGTTAGCTGTAAGGAGGAGAGTAGAAGCAGGAAGTGAAACCTGTTGTGTGCCGACTGTTAAAAAAATAAACTCGAAGAAGAAGAAAGAAACGAATTCAACTTTCTGCAAGAGAAAAACAAACAGAAACTATAGATTATATATTTTTAGATAAATCTGTTTACACCGACTTCTTTTGATCAAAACTTTACTGAAACTTTGGGGCCTTATATGTGTAGTAAAAACTACAAATTGAAAGAAAGAAAGTATGTAGTTTACACCTAGTAATTGACATCAAAATGATTTAAGGTTATTGTTTTTGTCAATAAATTGACTAATTGTTTTGGTACCAGTTGAAAAGCTGCTCAATTGTGTTTTCGTTTGATTCAAAGAAGAGGAAGAAACTACGAAAACTTTGGGCGTCTACAAAAGAAAAATAGAGAAAAGTCTTCAGGATTTTTTTATATCGCGGACATTGTAATTGTTCTTTCATGTCGGCCATGTTTGTTTCATGCAGTCCAGAGACGAAGACAAAGAAACAGCTGATCA